ATTACCCTTTAAATTGATTTCTGGAGATTATCCAAGGTGCTTCATGACCCATAATTGGGTCCTAAGCCCAACTTTGGAAACCAAATTGCAGTGGTTCCCAAACTTTTTACCTTTTGACCCACAAAATAGTAGAAAACAGTAGCAGAGACCTGAGCACCCAACTCTTTTTGGAGGATAAACATTTGTATAAGGTCAACAAAACATGGGCATTGTAACAATATTTTTATACTACATTTATCCATTTTAAATATACAGTACTAACCTCACTCATTTATAACAACTAAGGTAAAAATGTAATTGATTCAGAAAATCTTTTCAGGACCCCAGCTTGATGTTTCGGGACCCCACTTTGGGTCCCGACCCCAACTTTGGGAAACACTGTTCTAGATGCACATCCAATTATTACTCATTTCGAGTTTCATTAAAATTTGACCAGTGGTCCATTAGATATTTGGGTAACAGAAAAATACACATGCACATTTGTTCTTCTATCCTCATGGGGACTTTTCATTGACTTTATTCATTAACCCGTCATTTCTAGAGCCTAACTCTGACCCCTTGCCTTAAAACTAACCACCACAGTACATATATAACCCTAACCCTAACCTACACTCACTTAACACATTAGTCCTAATCCAAACCCCTAAACAACCAATGGGTTTTGGGCCATTGGTTATATGTGGGCTATATATGGGCTTTTGTCCCCATAAGGAACAGTGGGTCCTCACAAGGCTGTTTGGGCCAGGAAAATGGTCAAAAATCATCCCCAGCAGGTAAAAAATACATAAACATAAAAAACACGAGCTAAAACATTTTCATTTGACTTCACCTTTTGGTGGCAGGCAATAATTTAGCTCATTTTGATTTTCAACAACACCATGCAACTGTTAAAGTTTCTTTTTTTTGAAGTGTCTTCCAGCAGGACAAATGAAATGTAACCATTTCAGCCAGGTCCACAAATCCTCCACACAAGATTCGGCCACATACTTCATCTAGACTTAAATATGCAGACAGTTGTGGAAGGCTCCATGCAGAGCTGGGGTTTGTTCTCTCCCTCTGAAACAAATGCATCCAGCGCCCCCAATCCTCCACGCAGATTGCTGGCCATTACATTAACGCTTTGGCTCCAAAGTGCTCTGTTTCCAGTTTTGGAAATGTCAACCTGAAACTCCTTCAGGCAATGTTTAAACACATACATAAGTAATTGAATTCCTCTGTTAACATTTGGTTTCCCCCAAGCTGACTTATAACTTCAACTASAACCTGTAATGTGTTCGACTCGAACGGTGGCGAGCTTTTTCATTTTTCAAAAGATGGATATCTCCCTGTYGAAGGAAGCTCTTTATAGGTTCTGTAATGAGAAGATTTCCTCGTGTTGCAGTCAGGACAGCTCAGTGCAGGTGAGAAATGTCTCTGTTGCCTACCTTGGTGCCGGGTAGCCCTTCAAGCCCGGGTAAGCCCATGGGTCCTGGCTCCCCCTGTGAGAGAGAAACACACCACCTGTTGTGTCAGAATGAAGAAATCACTCCTAATAAGGATTAATAGTTGTTTTCTACAGCTAAAAATGGGGCTGTTTTCAACATGAGTAAATTTAGCAAAAAATACTGAATTTATCAAACATTATTAATGAAAATATAAACTAAAGCTACACGGTCAAGTGTTTTAAGATTTGAAATAACTCAATTCAATGCAAACTATACGTTTCAAACAATTCTGAGAAAAAAAGAAAAAAAAACTACAACTGTCTTATGGCACATTCTGTTAAAGGGATCCCTGATTAGTTGTAACAGACTTTATTTAATAAACATATATTTTAACTGTAAAATAAAGACTGTAAAAATACTGTAGGCTGTTTAGTTTTTATAATTTTTAAACTAAAACTTTAAAAATATATTACAGGGAAAGAGCCATTTTATTTACATGCAAAGCATTCTGGGTGAATGATGACATGGATAGGTCATCAGTGTGAGCGAGCTATATCCACCCTGAAGGTTAATRTTGGACAATATCTGATGATTGGCTCTTTTAAATGAAACCAGAGAGCGTTGACAGAGAGGAGAAGGTAGAAATGACTCAGCCTGTAACTGAAAAAATGGATGGAGGACCTCAGTTTAGCTTGTTTGTCGCGCTAGCACTGAGCTAATACATATAAGGCAGTAAAGCGTCGGCGCTAGCACAAAGGCTAACAGGCTAAGCTGAGGTTCTTCTTCCATGAAGCAGCTCTGTTGTCCTCCATCCATATTTTCAGTTACAGGCTGAGTCATTTCTACCTTCTCCTCTCTGTCAACGCTCTCTGGTTTCATTTAAAAGAGCCGATCGTCAGATATTGTCCAAGATTAACCTTCAGGGTGGATATAGCTCGCTAGCAGCCTCACACCGAGAACCTATCCACGTCATCATTTACCCAGAATGCTTTGTGTGTAAATAAAATGGCTCCGTCTGTTAAAATATATTTTTTTTAATTTACAAAACTAAACAACCTACAGTATTTTTACAGTGTTTATTTTACAGTTAAAATACATGTTTATCAAATAAAGTCTAATGTTACAACTAATCAGGGATCCTTTTAAACCATGAGAACTATAGAACCATTGAGGGGGGAAAAGCCCCATTTCACAAGAAGACTTTCTTTCTGATCTAAAAATAGAGCCCAATTCCCCCATGCTTGAGCAAGTGATGGCCTCTATCTTCCTCTTCTTGCTCAAGCTGCCGTGGAGAAATGCCATTACCCAGAACAGAAGAGCAACCGGTGCTGACATAGATGAATTGTCCAGGTAATTGTCACACATGTAGATTGCCATGAATAAGCTATTGTGGCTAACCAGAGTGGACCAGCCGGAGGATCAGCTGCAAGACGGATTGGGGCAATTCCAGCACATCACTGCAGCCGGTCACACAATTTATTAAAATGTCAAATTAACATCCTGGTGAAAAATCACTGTGCAACAAAACAATGAAAAAAAYAAGAAGATGCAATCAGTCTCATGAGGATAAAGAATTCAGGCTGATGATGGAAGCGTCAAGTCGTGTCCACGCCCGTGTGGATTGCGAGTGAATTGTTTTCCTGTTTCAGTGAAAGCGTAGAGAGGTGGGAAGCACATTTGAAGTGCAGTAAGAGTTTGCGGGTTCCCACTGGCAAGACAAAACGGTACAGAGGTTTTGTATTTGTTGGAGAATAAGTCGTATTTTTGTCTGCACTGGGGTTCTACTGAGAGTGGTTAAGTACTCAGGCTGGAGGCTTTATTGATTTATGTTGTACACTGGAAAACCAGGGAGATAATGATGGAAAGCAACTGGCAGCTCTGACTTCTCCTTTTGTTTGAATGCTTGAATGAATGCTTCAGAAAATATACTTTTCATAACACAAAAGCTTCAACTCACAGCAGGTCCTTCATCTCCTTTGGGACCCTTGAAAGAGAGAAGAAAAGAGGACAGATTACCTCCTTGAATGTGACATCCAGTGTCATATAGATCACAAATAGAGTCAGACATGATATTTGGCTGCATGTTTTGTTAGTTAAAATGCACAATAATCATTCTTGCTTCATTTATTAACTATATTTTTATGCTAACACTGCAACTGTGTCTCGGGAAAAAGATCGTACAATCCACTGTGGGTCGAGAAGAGGCTTRGGAAATTGAACAGCATTTTTCACATAAAAAAATACATTGTGATAAATTGTGTGCCTTGTCCTTTTTAACACTGATGAGGATGCTCTTTTATTGATTGCTCCCAAGGAGCTGTTGGGCTGTGATAGATGCAGTACAGGGCGAAGCATTCTCAAGATTTAGCTATAGTTCATGTGCATTGTGCACCAGGGACAGGCGCTCTTTGTCACCTCTTTAAGTGTTCGTTTCGGTGGATGGATCCCTGCAGGCACTGTGACTGAATGTCTCCCAGGACTGGACAAGATTACAAACTGTTTGATAAGGCGAGAGGAGGAGGAAGCGATAAGCAAATCGGGTCACTTCGGCGCGGCGCCGAGCGAAGCAGCTGAATTTCAGAAGTCKGTTTTGCATATCAATGATGCTGTGCGTCCTGGGGTAGATCACAGGCACCTGTTTGAGAGTCAGGAAGCCTCTTGGCCTTTGCCAACCCTCGGCTCTCAACGTGCGTGATTGATTGTGATATAAGAGCCTCAGGAACCGTGATAACACTGGAGGGCCGGTCCGGTTATTTGTTATTCCGCTCTCGRGGGGCTCTGCAGCTCGTACAGTATCAGCATGCATGTTTGCTTGTGTTCCTCCTTAAAACACTGTAAAAACGGTTGACTTTAGGCACTTACCGAGGCACCAGGAGCTCCAGGCGGTCCTAAAATAGCTCCACCGCTCTGTGAACACAGTTCMTTATGTAATCACTTAATATTTAGCAATAGGTGTCAAACTACATTCAACAACAAAAGCTGATTCTTTTCTTACAGCGTGACTGAGGGCATTTTGTTATTGAATTCAGTGAATCACAATGAGTTRAAATCTTGTGAACCATGTTTACCTGAAGCTTGTACAGACTGCTCATCCCATTGCCCTCCACATAAGGCACACCCTGAAACACAATCAGGCAACTTCTCTTAGAAACTCCTTTCGTTTTAAGAGAGGGACCCAACAGAAAACTGTACAGTAGGTCTTGAGCAGTCAAACACGGCTGAGCCTTTAAAAGCTACATGGTATGAATCAATAGCTCATTTGGTGGGTACAGAGGGAACGAGAGAGAGAGAATAAGTAGAGTGTGTGAGYCAGGGAAGGAAAGAGTAGAAAAAGGTGGAGAACAGTCGCTTTAATAATCTTTTAGCCAGCAAAGTAATAAAAAAAAGATTGTCTCAWAAGCACAAAAGAGCAGTGATTAAAACAATTTGCGCACACTGCAAAAAATGCCCACCTAACCAAGTTTTAAAATCTTATATCCAGCCAAAAAGTCTTTTTAATCTTGTTTTGAGACAGATTTACTAAACAAGAACTGATTGTGTAGAAATAATAATCTTGTTTTCAGAATGTGTAAGATTATTTGTATTGTTAGCCTGAAAATTTGACTCAAATTAAGTCAAAATATCTACCAGTGGAGTAAGAAAATTTTACTTGGTAAGACTTGTTGAAATACTTGATTTGACTCAATTTTTTCTTATTTCAAGAATCTAAAAGAAAAGAAAGAAAAGAAACTAAAAGTAATTAAAGTAGAAAACCAGGGGTTTTGGGCTTAAGAGATGAATGAACCAATTGGCGGACCGAACTTTGGTCACTCGCGGGCCGGATGTGGCCCGCGGGCCGCCAGTTGAATAGCCCTGGCGTATGAGAACTGGGTAATCCTGATTTTTTACTGGTGAGTTTTAATACCTAAAAGGATGTTTTCCCGTGATGGATTTATAGAGGGCAGCCATTGTAAACCAAGAATAAGTCAAGGTTCTCATTAAGAAGCAAGTGAAGGCCTGTGCCCTTTTCAGGCCGCTGAACCATTCTTTGTCGTTGCAGGCAGCAGGTTTATGAGACCAGCATGTGTGCGCGTAGGTGTGTGTTAGAATGTGTGTTTTGGAGAGGAGGGTGCTGGGGTACGCAGCAAGTTCAAGGGGACAGCCAATGAATTATAGATTTGCTTTCGGAGGTGCTGACTCACTTGGCTTTTAAAGGGATGAAACATGATTCAATGCCAGCAAGCAGGTGGCCACGGTGTGATCATGTTTGCACTTGTTTGTCAGATATACTTTTCTACTTGTGGTAAAAGCTGCTAGGCTGAGAAAATAAAAAGCAGGGCTCAACAGATGGCCTTAACTCAGTAACTTTAAGCACGGTCGTAACAGAATAATGCTACATGTGCACGAGGTGACGATAAATCTACGACACTGAAAAAGATTTTGAGACAGATTTTTCACGGCTGGTTTTTGTTGAGGTCACAAGAACTTACTGGAGGACCTGGGAGTCCTGGCCTGCCTGGAGGTCCTTCGTTTCCCTGCAAAACATGAACAAAATGCATTCTTAATCATGTCTGAGAAAATGGAAATGACYCACAAAGCTATTTGCCAACCATGAAAAATGAGATTTCTGAGATTACTTTACAACTATTTGATTCATGTGGCATTTACAAACTAACAGTGATTTTCAAACCTTTAAAGAAATGGTCAAATAAATACATTTAAAGAATTAATGCAATAGTAATTTGGATAAGCAGCTGTTATTATTATTATTATTTTTTTTTTCATTTTGTTCTATCATCATCAGTTAATTTCACGCTGACAATGGGACCATGTGGTCCTGGTAATGTGCCAAGCTGTTTCCTAACCAGATGAGGTGCTATTTTCAACACAACTCCTTTTTCACTTACCCCCACCTCCAACCCAACCCCCTTCCCCAGCTCTAATAAACTAAACTGAAAAACTAAAAGTTGTGCTCTTTTGGACATTTTATTTTGAAAGGATTACAAAATGAAAAGCATGGTAACAGGTGGGCCGCAACTTCTATAKTGGTCTATTGAACCGATGAAAGGGATGGAACATAAATTGTTCCTGACCCAATAAAATGGACAGTGCGGGCATTTCAAGAGGTGCAACGATACAGAAAATTCATGATTCGGTTCAGTTTGAAACTTTTGTCTCATAGTTRGATATTTTTTCGATACAAAAGAGATAAATTTCCATCTCCTTCTTAACTTGCAATTTATTGAAATTGATTATGAGCATTTGTTTAACCTCWAAAGTACAGTTTTTAAATTAAATGTCGCTGAAACAAGTTTCTCAGTGTATCTGTGCTCGACAATGCAGCCTAGGTGGAGTAGTCGAACACAGATCCACTGATCCTTCAACACAGAGCATCTTCAGAAGACAAGACAATAAAATAAATTTAAAAAAAATCTGTATTGTTCGATACAGTGTGTATTGAACTTAAAGCACTGTATTGAACAGCTTGAGACAGACACATGTACTGTATACGTATAAGTGTATAAAGGTAATGTACTAAATCAGAACACAGATGCTAACATAAGTCCTGATATCAATGGCCCTATCAACATTGCTTTTTCTCTCATGTATTATTGTGTGTAGAGTTGGAGGCAGATGAAGCGGGTGACTGATATTTGAATAAAAATAAAATAAAAAGAATWTTGTATTTGAAATGCCAATTCCTAATAATAGCTTATGTGTGTGATGGTAAAAAATGGATTTCATCTTCTTCTTTTTCCTTTTCTCTTCATATTACTTGTTATTTCTCCTCCGTAAAATAGRTTCCTACAATCATTTTTGAAATCACAGCAATTAAAATAAAAATACAATTTTCACTTTTCTTAACAAGTTTTTTAAATAAAAATTATATGACGCAAAAAAACCACTAACACTTATTCCTACATACTTTTAGCTGGATGCACGATTCAAAAATTGAAATATAGCAAAGTTAAATTACTGATCTAGCATTCACACAGCAGATATACACAGTCCGAATAAAATTCACTCTTAAATTTTAATTTGTAATTTAGTCTGACTCAGAGATCATACTGAGACTCTGTTGCCTCATGGGGTGAAGCCAGTACCAGCTAAATTTAAAAAAAAAGATGGACAAATTAATTCAAAATGCTTTCCTTTAACTTGTGTTAATAGTTTTTACTCCACAAGTTTTTTTTATCCTCCCATGAATCAAAGTCAATGAACTCATGATTTTTTTTTTTGTTAGTTAACTTCGGAAGGTTAGGAGGAATTTAGCCAGCTAAAATTAAGAATGTATTTTTTTAAATAAACACAAAACATAGTTTATTTAATCATCCTCTCCTTTTTGGATTCAGTGAAAGGATAAAAAAACAATAAATTGTGTTAGACTCAGCCTTGCATTTGCAGAATACACTTTCAGCTAACAAAGCCAGATCTCAAGATGTTTGCAGAGGCAGTTTTTCAATATATTCTGCATCCCCACAATATAGGAAGACGAGTGAAGGTGCATCCCCATGACAACCCTAACAAGTGATGAACAGAGCTGCTGCTCGTTAACAGCTGCTGCAGTCTGCGTGTTGTGTGAACAAACARTAAAACATGCTTATGAACCACGTTCACTTCCAACCATTTCTTTAACACACAAAGCAAACAGACATGGGTTATGGATTTCAAATTCTAACTCATTCAATAAGCATTACATCTCATACCTGTGCACACACAAATAAAACACACACACAAGTTTGGTCTAATGTCTCCACTGGGAACAAACTTCTCCCAGTGGAGACATGATAAGTTCTCTGATAGCCTAGTAGTCAAAACGAACCCTATTAACCCTAAATAGAAATCTCAGACCTCAACAATTACTTTACACCTGCAGAGCAAACAATTTAATCCCAGAAAATACCAAAAGTCCCTTAAAGTCTATAATCTGTCATGTCTTGTTTTTACATCTTTACATAAAAACGAGACACTCGGCACCAAAACACAAATCAAGACATCATACACATAGACCCACGTCTGATCAAATGATAAACAAATAAARAAATACATTTCATTTCATTTTAAGCTCTTAGGATTCCACATAAAACCACTTGACATTCTGTCATAGTTACCAACGGGTGCCTACAGTAACCCTGAATTCTCATCATCTTTGCTTTTACAGGTCATTAAATAAAACAAAGCTTGCCATTGAGTTTGACAATTAGTTCAGTGACTTTGTTCAAGATCATTCAATCAAATTAATTCAGCTTATGGCACTTAGACTGATGTTTTTATTGTAATTAAAAGTCATTCTCCAGTTTTAAAAACAATGCATTTTGTTAAACTAATTGAMAGAAATATACTTTTTATATTTTCAACAGAGTATTAAAAGCACTAAAAACACAAAATTGTCATGGTCTATGTGTTTTCTATGCCTTGGTTTGTTTCTAGTGTTTTTGTGTTCCCCTGTCCATCTCTGCCCTGCTGTCGTGTCTCCAGCCCCGCCCACGCCCACGTTCACCTGTTTCGAGAAGGGGTTCTCCGTGAACTCAAAGTAGGCGTTTCTGAGAAGTATGTGTTTTAAGCATAAACACTGATTGGCTAGTTGTCTAGCTAAAAACTCTGTTTTTCGAAAAGTTTGGTTCTTTTCTTTTGTTTTTCTTTCACTTTTGACTTGAAGTACTTTCACATAAATTTTAGCAGCCAAAAC